CGGTTGATCTTTTGAACGAAGGTGATGGTGATGACCAAGTACAACAAACAAGTTGGTTGGCATCAATTTTTAGGTTGTACGGGTAGATAATTGACGTGAATCGGGAGAAATCTTTTGTGAAACAAAAAATACACTATTATTAAGACTGTCAATAACTCGGATTTTTTTGGGAAAACAATTATGCTTAGCCATTCTCCTCCAGGACATGGCATCACTTTTTTTAGTAAATTTGGCTTTTTTTTTGTGCCGTCTACGAGCCTTATTTCAAAAAGTTGAATGCTTGCAAACATTGTACAATCCCATTTGTCATTCGTAGGCTGTATTTTTCATGTGTTGTCGTTAAACAGCTTGATGCGGTTTTTACCAGTTTCGGTTATGTTTCGGTTTTGGTCTTAAACCGACCAGTTAACCGTCGGTTTTATATGATAAAAAACCGATAGAAAACCGATCAACTAATCGTTCTGCTTGATATAAGTTTACTTTCACCCCTATTTTTTTGCCGAATTTCTTGGTATAATTTCAAACCTGTTGAGTTTAGGTTTTTTCCTACTAGTATTTAAAGTGATGTACTCTAACGTTACATGAATTATTCTGTCAATTAATTACTTTTTGACAGGATAATTTTTATTAATTAGTTAGAAATTAGTTGGAATCAGTATTGCATTTCATTATTCTTTTTGTTTAGAGTGTTTTAGAAGCGATAATCATTTGCTAAACAATCACTTTTTGGAAAATCTAAGGCTCTACAATTCCAAACCGATTATAAACAATAATATCTTTCTCTTTTCTGCAGAGCTCAAGAATTGCAAAGTACAGATAAGAGGAATGGATATGAACAGCTCACAAATAATCATTGTTTTTTAAATTTGATTTTTAGGAAGGAATTTTCTGTTTTTGTTGGGTAACAAATTTAAAAAAGAATTATTATTTTTTCTGAATCGATCCACTAAATTTCTCCGTGTGATAATAATAATTAATAAAAAAATAAAATGAACTAATTGTTCGGTTTTAGTATTTTGTGTGATAAAGATCACTATCTTTAATGCGTTTAAATTATTAAAGTGAATGGTATGGAGAAAAATTGGTAAAAATTTTTTATTTATTCCATATTTTTAAATTGAGTTTAATATTTGGCTAGTGCGAGAAGATCATATAAAAAGAATAAAAAGAAAAGAATCGTAAATTAAAATTTTTCATATAGCATCGGTCGGTTTTGCTGTTCGGTTCGATTTTGGTTGAAAACCGCGACTTTAAAACTGAAACCGAATCGAACCGACCGTTGGCATCCCTAGTTTTGTTGCAGCGTGCTCCATATAACCCTTGTATTTCCCTTTTTTGGAAATAGATTTTAGTGAGATGCTGATTATAAATAAGATGTAGTAAACGATTGATTATAGCAAAAAATCATGATGCTTTTAAAGATTGATTCAGCTATGATAGGAATCTATCTATATAGTTTTCGGGGGTCATGTTCAAAATTCTAAGCCAAAATATTATACCCACCTGAAAGAGTTACATATAAATAAGGTATTAACTCGATGTTGTCCTCGTTTCTATTGAAAAAGATCCCCATATTCGAATCTAATACGTTGTTGTTTTATAAACAAATCCGCAAACAAAAATTTTTTTTCTACAAAAATAATAATAATAATAAAATGTCTAATCCAGGTGTTTTAGTACTTGCACCAGTTACTAGTCAACAATATAATGAAATATTATCACCAGAGGCTTTAGAGTTTGTAGCAAAACTTCATAGAGCTTTTAACCCTACAAGAAAAACTTTACTTCAACGACGTATTCTTAAACAACAAGAATTGGATCGTGGTATACTTCCAGATTTTTTACCTGGAACTGCTTACATCAGAGAAAATGATAGTTGGCGTGGTGCTTATCCTGCACCTGGTTTGGTTGATAGGCGTGTTGAGATAACTGGCCCTGTTGATAGGAAAATGGTTATCAATGCTTTGAATAGTAATGCTTATACTTATATGGCAGATTTTGAAGGTAATTTTTCTTTTAATTTGTATCGACAATCAATTTAATAAAAAAATTTTGTTATTATAAATTTTTATCATTATATTAAGATTCCAATGCTCCAACTTGGACCAATAATATTGATGGTCAAGTAAATTTACGTGATGCAATTCGAAAAACAATCACATATGTTAATCCTGGTAATAATAAGAAATACGAATTAAGAAAAGATGGAAATATTGCAACATTAATTGTTCGGTAATTTACATTCAACCCCACCCAATTCAATTTAATGTGTTAAAAGAAATTAATTATATTTCTAATGTTTTATTTTAATATTGATTTCATATATGCATATTACATATTGAATAGTCCTCGTGGTTGGCATTTAGATGAAAAACATGTCTTGATTGACAATGAACCACTATCGGCATCAATCTTTGATTTTGGTTTATATTTTTTCCATAATGCTAAAAAATCTATTGAAGCAGGTATTGGACCCTATTTCTATTTGCCTAAAATGGAATCACACTTGGAAGCAAGGTTTCTATTTTTTACTTAATTTCCGTTTGATCAATTTTTTTAAATAAAAAACCTTATTTATTTAAAAATTTTTTTATATTTTCTCAAAATAACAAAAGACTTTGGAATGATATATTTAATGTTGCACAAGATCTTCTTGGTATTCCTCGAGGAACAATTCGTGCCACTGTATTGATTGAAACAATTCTTGCAGCCTTTGAAATGGATGAAATAATTTATGAATTAAAAGAACATTCTGCCGGACTTAATTGTGGTCGATGGGATTACATTTTCTCTATGATCAAAAAATTCAGAAACAATCCCAACTTTGTTTTACCAAGTCGCTCAGATGTCACAATGACAGTTCCATTCATGGATTCATATGTACGTCTATTGATCAAGACATGTCACCGTAGAGGTGTACATGCAATGGGTGGTATGGCAGCACAAATCCCCATCAAAAATGACCCAGCAGCCAATCAGATTGCCATGAACAAAGTCAGAGCTGATAAACTTCGTGAAGTAAAGGCAGGACATGATGGGACTTGGGTTGCACATCCTGACCTTGTTAAACTTGCATTAGATGTGTTTAATGAACATTTGAAAACACCAAATCAAATTTTTATTAGGCGTGAAGATGTCAATGTTAATGCATTGAATTTACTTAACACAAATTTCCCTGGTTCAATCACTGAAGCAAGTATTCGCAACAACATCTCAGTTGGTCTTATCTATATTGAATCATGGCTTCGTGGCTTGGGTTGTGTACCTATTCATAATCTTATGGAGGATGCTGCAACTGCTGAAATTTCAAGATCTCAGTTATGGCAATGGGCTAAACATCGTGCTAGAACTATTGAGGGTAAAGTTATCACAGGTGAATATTTACTTAAATTGCTTGATGAAGAAGTTACAAATTTGGAAAGACAGATTGGTCCTCAGAAATTTGGTAGTACAAAATATATTTTGGCAAAACGATATTTGGCAAGTCAGATCGCTGGTAAAGATTATTCAGATTTTATCACTACTTTGTTATATGATGAAATCACAACTGTAAATAATAATATTAAAGCTAAACTTTAATGAAGAAAAGAAAATTTTATATTATTATATTGCAATCTCACATCTAATAAGTAGTCAGTCATTGTTATACTATTTGTATTTTATATCGCACATATATAAAAAAAAATAAAAAAATAAATTTAGCAAAAGATGAAATAATATTTGTTATGATAATGTTTATTATATGCTATAATTATATGAAAGAAATATACTAATACGTATTGAATAATTTAATATATACAAAAATGGAAAGTTTTTGATTAAAAAATTTAACTACCAAAACATCAAAACAAGACTTAGTTTTATCTTTTAACCAAATCGATGTAATTGCAAAAGAATACGTTCTGCTCGTCAGTTGCATAACATTACATAAAGGGGTAACAGTAGAAAAAAGAAAATTACTGCGGAAGCATCGGGAAATATATTCGTAGAGATTCTCCTATTTCTTTGAGGTCTTTGGCTAATAAAATATTAAATAAAGGAATAGAGATTTCATATGTAACAGTTTTAGGGCATTTGGAAGGATCGGATATAGGAAAATTTTGCCAAGAGCCATCTCAACGCTAACAACAAGACATAAAGAACGTCGTGAGAGTGGACACGAAATCATCTTAATGATGGTTGGAGAAAACCCTATTTTCCAGACGATACAGCTTCCCAACTTTACCGAAACACGATTGAAAGATGGTATAAGAATGTAAGACCTGTTCACCCAATGCCAAAAGATCATACAAAAATTATTGCTTGGGGTAACTTTGCATCCATGAAAAGACCGATCTTTTTTGCTTCCGAGAATCATGGATGCAGAATTTATGTTTAAATGCCAGAATGCTAGGGTTTCAACAGGATAATGATCCCAAACATTTCTTCAAGAAAACTTCCCGAAGTTATGGATTGGCCATCCAACAGTCCTGATTTAAACCCAATAGAAAGTTCGCGGGCCATTGTTAAGAGGAATGTGGAGAAGAGAATTCCAAAAATCTGATGGGATTGGTGCAGTTTATGGTTGAGAGGAGTGAGATGCAATTCCTAACTCGTTTCTAATTAGTTTAATTCGTTCTATGAGATCGAGATGTGAACTAGTCATTGAAAATAATGGCGAAGGGATTTCTTATTAAAATATTATCAATAAAAATATTATTTTAAGCCATCAAATGAGCCATTTTTCACATGAACTAATACAGTAGTTGTTCATTTAAAAATTTCCATTTTTATTTTTGTAACACTGTAAATGATAAAAAAAAAATGCTAGGTAGGTTAAATGTAAAATTCCAAATTAACATATGGAAAAAACATACCAATTATTTTATTAAATCTCCCTGACCTGTTGGATCTTTTCAATATTGAGAGTGTTCTTGTGGATTTTGCCATCTTCTATATAGAATAAATGAAAATGCAACTATGAAAGAATCAAACTCACTTTCTCATTCTTCTTGATTATCCTCAGTAATACTATTATGTTTATATTTTTTTAAAAAATAATTAAAATGTAAATTCACTTTTGGAAATCAGATGATTTTCAATTGTAATTATATGTGGGCAGCTTTAATTTGCTAACTTTTTCTATATTCTGTCTGTATTTATAATATTGATTGGCCAGAAAAAGATTTTTATTTTCTAAATATCATATTAATGTTACAACAGTTATTTTGTTTTTATTTTATTTGGTTGCTGTAGTTTTTGGTTTTTTGGTCCCATACTTTGATCTGGAACTGATTCTGTTAGGGACTCCACTAAAATCATAAGCTCCCCTGACCAAATGATATTTAACTCCTGGCAAATCTTTGACACGCCCACCACGAACCAAAACTACACTGTGTTCACTCTACGCCAATTTAAATAAATTATTATTAATAATTAATTAATTAATTACTTAATTACGTACATATAAACTCACCAAATTATGTCCTTCACCTGGTATATAAGCAGTAATGATTTTACCAGTTGAAAGTTTGACACGAGCAACTTTACGTACAGCAGAATTAGGCTTTTTAGGTTTTGTGGTGTAAACTTTATTACATACGGCTTTTTTTTGTGGACAGGCTTCTAAATCTTTTGATTTTGATTTTTTAATTTTACTTTTTCTTACTCCTCGCATAACTTGGTTCAGTGTGGCATATGTCATTCTACCGCCATTAGCAATTAGTTGATCAAAGATGAGTATGGTTGGTTGTGGTGGTGGTAGTGATGGCAGTGATGATAATTTACATAATGATGTTGTTGTGAACAATAATTTTGAAAATAATGAATTCATCTTTTTTTTTCAATTATAGATTGGCCAATTAAAATTAAATGATTGGTTCAATAATTATCAAATATTTTTGATTAAAAAGGATAGGGCGCAACTGAGCATAGTGGAAATTTGAAATGTTACACTAATTTTTTATATTGTGCAACGTAGCTTTAAAATACATGGCAAACATTCTGGCAATAAAAAGTAAGTGATAAACTGGATTTGAATTTGATCCGAACTTGATCTCCAATTTAGAGAGGTAACAACTATACACCGGCGAAGTTTCAGAAGCAATGAGTTCTGTACAACATTTCGTGTATCAACAAACTTCCACTATGCTGCGCAACTGAGATCAAAGAATCACCTGGAGAGAGAAAAATTGCTGCCTCCATTCCTAAAAGGTTTTTATCAACGAAAAACTGATTTTCAGTAATCCAGAATACATTAATTAATAAAGAAAAAAGAAATGTATGATGATATAGAAGATATTAATAATTTTATTGATAGTAATAACAGTGACAGTAATAAAATAGTATAGAAATTCAACCAGAGTGACCAAAAGAACAGGTAATTCTTCCAATGCGGCTGCTCTGTTAGTTTTCTATATATGTGTGTATTAGTTGAATTAAAAACAATTTTCTTGTTGTTTATTTAATATGCTGTATTGTTGTATCCAATTACATGCCCCATTTATTATTATTATTATTTTGTTTATTTACTATTACGTTTTTATTTTTATTCCATATATAACTTTATTTAGTAGGAATTATGTTTAGAACACTATCTTCAGCAACTCCTTTCCTAATTCATGCGCCATTTTACTAAATGAAAAATCCCGTCTTTTTAACAAATAATTCTTTCCATAAAATTTTCTACTCGTGAATATTTTTAATCGCTAATAAGATTTTTTGATTTATCTTTGAATTGGCATTTTTTTGCTCTGTTTTATTGATTATTTCATCTATATTAGAGTTGGTGAAACAATTAACAAACAAGTTCATTGTTGAAAGTAGTAAGCATTTTTTAAAGTAAATAAATATTTATTGATTTGTTTTTTTAAACAAAATAAATCGTACAATGCAAATTCTTTTAGAACAAAAAATTTAATGAATAAATGGTGTTATTTTGATAAAGAAACATTTCGTTTTAATAGTCAGAAATCAACGTTTTTCTTTATGCAATATAGTAAAGATAAAATGCATTATTTACAAGGAGGAAGAATTGAAATGCGTCTACCATTTCTGGTGTTACATGAAAAAACATGAGACACAAAAGGAAGAAGTTTGTTTATTAGAACACCATTATGGTGTCTTATTGATTAAAGAGTATAGAACTTTTGAATTATCAATTCTGCAAATTTTATAAGAGCCTTGAAAAAATGATAATGCGCTGATACCTGGGCTTATACGTCAAGTGTATAGAAGAACACGACAGTAGGAAACTTCTTTAGAAAAAATGTACAACTGTGTGGCCTCAATGCAGTTCTTAATATTAATATTGCTGTTAGAACAAATAATTGCATATATTATGTGTTGTCACAAAATGTGCTAGTTACTTGATGAAAATCATTCAAAGACAATTCAGACTGATGGATTAAATGTATATTATGTGTATCTATTAATCCTTTTATAAATAAATAAATAAATAATAATAAAACATTAATAATTTCTTTGAGAAATAAATTACAAAAATTACATTAAAATTAATCTAAAATCTAATTCATTACTACACTATTTTTTAATCTAATCCATTACTATATAGATAACTTTTATTTTATACATTGTCATCAACAGCTAAACGACTATAGCCACTTCTATTATTTTTAGTTTGAATATTTGGACCTTGTATTAATTTATTCAATAAAATTGTAAATAGTCCAATATCACTATGATTTAATTTGATAATTTCACCACTACCATTATCAGCCCAAACAGGCTTATTCCACCATTTCAACAATAAACTTGAACACACAACACTAACACTTGAGCATGCCATTGCTGCTCCTGCCATCATAGGATGCAGATGCAGCCCCCATGGTAAAAATAATCCCATTGCTAATGGTATTCCCAAGACATTATATAAACATGCCCATAGAAAGTTCATTTTTATTCTGCGAAATATCACTTTGGATAAATCAATAGCTGCTACTACATCCATTATATCTGATCTCATTAAGACTATGTCGGCTGCTTCCATCGCTATATCTGTACCTGAACATAATGCAATCCCTAAATCTGCTTCTGCCAATGCTGGTGAATCATTAATACCATCACCCACCATTGCCACCACATTTCTTCCTATTGCTCTTTTATACTTTGGGCCTTGATATTCATTATTATTGTTTGTGTCTTCACCAACCATAGGTACTCTTCCTTGTTCATTTTGTTGAAGTTGTCGGATGATTTTAGTTTTGCCTTTTGGTGAAACTCCTGCATGAATTTCAGTTATATCACATTGTTTAGCTATGGATTGTGCTGTCAATAATTGATCACCGGTGACCATTGCAACAGAAATACCCATACTACCTAATGCTTTAACTGCCAATTTAGCTTCAGGTTTAATGATGTCTGAAAGTGATATAATTCCTGCAAAGGATTGATTGATAGCAACTAAAACCGCCGTACGACCAAGTCGTTCTTGTGTTTCTTTTAGAATGGTCACAGAATTTGGTATAGAAATTTGGTTGCGATGCGAAAGAAATCTTGCATTTCCAATTAAAAGATCATATGATTTCAATATTGTACTGGTTGTTTCTGTTAATGGAGAAACAGCTGAATATGAAGTTTTGAGGGTAACTCTACATTTAATTCCTAATCCTGCAAAAGCTTCAAAGTCTACAACATCAGCATCGTAACTTTCAATATTTAAAACCAGTTTTCCATACTCAGCAATAGCACGTCCAAGTGGATGTTCACTTGATGACTCAGCAGCACCAACGATAGCAAAAAATGTTTCTTTAGTTATTTCTAAATTGTCAGACACTATCTCAAAATGCGCAACATCTAATTGCCCCTTTGTTAAAGTCCCTGTTTTGTCAAATACAACTTTTGTCACTTTATGTCCAATTTCAAGAGCTCCACCACCTTTAATTAATATTCCATTCTGTGCACCAACTCCTGTTCCAACCATCACTGCTGTTGGTGTGCTAAGACCTAAAGCACAAGGGCATGCTACTACTATTACAGATATGCAAAGTTTAAGACACACCATGAAATAACTACTGTCTGGTTTGAAAATATCTGGCAAAGGATTTAATATTAGAGATAAGAACATCCAACCAAAAAAAGTTACTAAACTTAATACTATCACCACTGGTACAAAGTACCCGGCTACTGTATCAGCAAATTCTTGTATGGGAGCTTTCGAAGTTTGTGCTTCTTCAACAAGTTTTACAATTTGTGATAAAGCTGTATCATTCCCAGATCGTTTAACCTCTATATCAATGGTTCCCAAACCATTGACAGTTCCACCAATCACCATATCACCTTTATTTTTATTAACTGGATTGACTTCACCGGTAACCATTGATTCATCAACAGCTGATTTACCCGAGATAACAACACCATCTGCGGGAATTTTATCACCAGGTACTACTTTAACAATGTCACCTATTTGTATCAATTCGGTAGGAATCTTTTTTTCGCCAGTAAATTCACCAGTCTCTGAATCCTTTTCGTAAATGATAGTGTAAGCTGGTGTAAGAGATATAAGCTTGGATAAGGCTACCGATGTTTTACCTTTTGCCATATTTTCTAAATATCTACCCAAAGTTACAAAAGTGATTAACATTGTTGATGTATCGAAAAATACAGATGGTTTCTGATGTGTTCGTTCTAGAAGAGCATATAACATGGCAAAACATGAAAATGTAAATGCTGATGTTGTACCAATAACTATCAATACATCCATGGTAGCATTCCCGTGCTTAAGAGCTTTGAAACTTGTAAGATAGAATCTTTTTCCAACACCAAATTGTACAGGAATTGTTAATAAAAGCGCTATAATGTGACCGCTATAAATTCCAGGCAATAATTTGAAATCTACAACACTCATTCCCCATTCAAACTCGGGTAAAATCATTGAAATTATAAATACTGGTATGGCAAAAGTGAGTGAATTATAGAATGCTTTTCGCCATTCAGTAATTTCTCTTGTACGTGCTAAAGATTCTAGTTGTGTTTTTTGACTATTGTCGGACAGCAAGGCATTAAGTCCCATATCTTCAATCATACCGACAATATCACGTATTCCTAATTTATCTTTGTTGAACTGAATTGTTGCAATTGTTGTGGCAAAATTAATTGATACGCTTATGATATTCGAATTTTTAAGTAATACTTGTTCGATCATATCGACACTGGAGGGATCTTGCATGCCAAATATCAATAGTTCAACTGTGTCTTCACTTTTTTGTTTTAAAGATTCTGCTTCAAACCCAATGTCATTTATCCTTTCTACAATTTGACTTTCATCTAAATTATCAGCGTCATATTCAACTGTCGCTCGTTCAGCAAGTAAGGAAACTTTGACAGATATTACACCAGAAACAAGCTGAAGACTTTTTTCAACACTACTAACGCATGATGCACAAGTCATTCCCTGTACTTTTATCTGACATATTTTTATATTTTCCGTAATAACTTTAATGTTATCATCATTGACAGAATTATTAATCGTTTTGAGGGGAATTATTTCGGAGCCAATGTTGACTTTTGCCATCACTGGGTTGAAAGTTAAAAATTTTATTTTATAAAAAATAAAAATAAATAAAAAAGGCAAATTAATATTATTAAATTATTACTGTTACTATTACTGTTACAGTTAGATTTCCCAAATATGGCTTTCTGAATTGATTGGCCTATCTATAAAAAGCTTTCTAGTGATCAATGAATTTAATATCCTTGTTGTATGTGAAATTGAAATTATGTGAAATTGAAATATTATGGAGTTAATTTGAATTTCACATATGTGAATTGCGAATTCACATAATTTCATTTTCACATACAACAATCCTCATATTATTATTTGGTACAATTAGTAAAATTCAAAATTATGGATTAGCAACAATTTTTCATTTATTAAGTGTTTAGTCTTTTATAATTTAATAATTGTGATTGCAATACGGATAAAATTTACTGGGAAAAATCCGCTATTGGTTAACCAGGAGATGGTTGCAAAGGCATTGGAAAGAAATGTCACAAAAGAATTTACAAGATTTTCAGGCTATTTGAACAATGAATATACAGTATATATATATTAAGTAGGATAATTGATAAATTGATTAATCATATTACAATAGCAAAATTATTTTTACTATAAACAACAATACCAAGTCATTTTAGAATCCTTATGATAATTATTTACATGTTTACTGCCCAGAAATTAGTAATAAATGGTTTTCAAATATAAATAGGTTTGAATGGGCATCTAGAAGCCATAACAATATTTCTCGTAATTCGATTTCCTTCCTGTATTGATTTACAACAATCCTCCGTATTTCTTTTGTCTCTTTGATGGTTTTATCCAACGCAGATTTGGGCATAAGTCAAGAATTCTGTAGATAGTAAGTAATTCACCAACCTTGTGACTTTGATATCCAAAAGTTTCTATGCCTGTGGATGATTTTCGTAAAATGTAAGATATTAGCGTCGATTAAGGTTTTTAATCATATGAAATGCTTATGTCAATATACTCCTTTTTTTGTAGCCACATAAAGAGAAGAAATACGATCCCTAATACAGAGTTAATCATAAAATAATCCTACATCGGTGGACAAGTTTGTACAATTTTGGGCCATTTTCTTGACAAGCATTACTTTAGAGAGCCAGCGAGTACCCAGGATTGCCCATACCATAGGAATATTCTCAGAATGCTTGAAGGTAGATTTAACACGCAGATTGATAAAATGGAGCGGTCAAGAGATCCTATTGCTAATATACGGGGATGGTGCCTGCTGATACGTGCTTCCCGATCCAGAAGCTCATCAATATACTTGGAAGTAACAGTTATATGATATACAGTGTGTTAAGAAAAAAATTGGGCTGTCAATTTTTATACTCGAGACCATCTTCAACATCAATGTCAACCTCAACCTTAACATTAACAAAATTTACCATTAAAAATACAAAAGCAGATCGTCAATATTTGAAATATGGTTCTGTAGAATGTACATTTTGCAAAGTTAAGTTACAGGCATTAGTACGTCATTTTCAAAATAAACGTAAAAATATTCTCAACAATAATAATATTAAACAATATTCGATTTCCAATGATTCAAAATTAAAAATAAATTAAATCCTTTGAGGATAAATATTTTGTTGATTTACGTTATAAGTTACCTTGATGCCAAATAATTGGATTGTATCAATTTTAAGAAGCGAAAAATTATCATTAAGAAAATGATTAGTTATTTTTCACACAAGATATCCCTTACAACAGATACCTGGTCTTCCACAACTACAAATCAGGGATATCTTGGTGTTACGGCATATTGGGTTGATGATGATGAAAATATTACTTGATCTTGTACCTCTTCATGAAAACCACACTGGAATCATTTTGGCAAATAAAATTTTAGGTAAGTTTAGCAGATTGTTTAAATAATGCATTAATTCAAAGAATACAGCAATAGGGATTTTATACAGATGTATATGAATCTCAATATATAAAATTAATAGGTCAACAACCAATTGAAAAATTACGTAAGTTGGCGTCTGTCTGTGCCTGTCACTTTTAATGTCTCAGAAAAAATATAAATTTTGCTTGTTAAAAAAATTATGATAAAAATTTAAGAATTCTTTCATTCCCGTTGTTATATCATCATATTTCGTTTGTACAGTCAAACCCTCGTTTCGAAGAACTTCGTTTCAGCGAACTGTAATTAAATTCACGTTTCAACGAATTTTGAATGATCCTTTCTTATGTGTCCAACCACTCGTTGAAACGAGGTTTTGACTGTATTTGATAAAATAAACAATAAAAGATTAAAAAAGGTTCGCAAAGATTTTACATAGTGAAGGCAATACAATTAAACCTCGCACAAATTGAATCTAATCACATTTCGATGAATTCTATATGTTTTTATATAATGCAAGATTCGTTGAAATGAGGTTTGACTGTACTTATCAAATATTAAAATATTATGTATATGTAAATTATCGTAGAAACGGTTGTCATGTTCAATATTTTCATTATGTGAAATCTTTGTGAAAATTTTTTTTTACTTATTTAGAATGGTGGGAGTTGCTTCCCTTCTTTAAAAAAAAAATATCAGATTATACTTTTGTCCAATGCCCGTGGAAAACACTGACCGGGAATAAAGCACTTCTGAAGATGCTATTCTGCTGCTGCTGTTGCGCCCACTTTCTATCTTTGCCAATTCTATTTCTAGTGATTCTTCGGCTGTTACAACGTTGTTATTTGTAATAATAATAATAATAGCCAAAAGAGACACCACCATTAGAAATGAATTATGAAACAAGTCTTGCCGTAATCTTTTCTGAATTGTTGGAACCGCCATCACTGCCATTTGGATTGATTATTAAAAGCAAGCATCCAATCTTCTTCTTAAATCCTTCAAATAATCTCGAGGTAAGAGTCAATATCATCTAATAATCCTATTCCATTTTCATAAAGAACATGCTCAACTATCATTCTTTTATCATGATTATCAAGATATTTCCTAAATGTTCTAGCAAAACCAGAATGTTGTAATGATTTTGCTACATAGCGCTTCATCATCGATGAAATAATATTGGAGAATGAAGATTCATTTGTAACTTGTATATGATATTGTTGAAGAGATGGTGGATGAGAATTTCTTTAAATTGAAGGGGCTCGGACTGGAACAATCATCAATCAGTTCCAAAGAAATTATTTCATGGAACCAATAAAACCAAATATTCAGTCAAGAAAGTTGGTAATTCACCAGAAAACAAGTATTCATGGAAATTCAAATTGGACCATCACAAGAATTTTTCCAATACAAAACTGAACAATATAACGGGCAATTGATTGAGAATGAACAGTTGCCACCAAAGCCAAAGACTCAAATTTTCACCAGCTGATAAGATATGTCAACAACCACAGAAACCAGTTGCTGAATTAGCTGCAGCATTAGCAGGAAAAAAAGAAAAGGGGGAAAAAATAGAGAAGAAGTACAAAAAGGAAAAGTATTAATTGATAAGATGATGGCAGTTTCATCATCATCATCACTCATCTCATAAAAGGAAAAAAGCTCAGAATTGATGAAGTCGTAGAAGTCGTAGTGGCATCATCATCATTCACCATTACCACCAATAATAAATAATACTTCCAACTCTCCTGCAATATATGGATGTAATGACAATATAGAAATAATACACTTTTTCGAAAGAAGAGTGTAAATTTCAGACAATTATTCTTTTTTTTTTTTTTTTTTAAAAAAAAGGAAAACCAATATATATTCACAATAAACACAATTATTAATAAGCAAATATATGTATTTTAATTACAAAAAAATTTAATGAAATATATTACAAAAAAATTTAAAAATTAAAAAAAATTTTTTTTTAAAAAACTGTTCTTCAAAAAATCAAACTATATTATTATTATTAATTATTATTATTATTATTAATTATTAATTATTAACTATTTTTTATCATATAACAATGATAATAAATCTTTCTGTACAATGTATATATATATATATATCAATAATATATTTATATATTATTAGTATTATTATAATATATATATACATATATAAATAGTTCAATTTTAAAATTTAGTAAAATCTACTTCGTTAATATCTTCCATTTTTACCACAACATCAGCATGAAGTGTACCATGGATTACTTTCCTAACCGGATCCTCGGGCATATATTCTAATTCTCCGTCAGCACTTTGTAGAACAAATTGTTTACCTGGTGGAGGTGGTTTCTTAATTGCAAAGGCTAAAAGTGAAGAAAAAGTTGTTTTATCAGTGATTGCTATGTTCTGTTTGTATGTTCTATTTGGTGATCTAATAGTTACTGATTTCAATTGTATTAACGTTGGCGAGTGCGTTGAGCTATCTAATAACATTGGTTGATTGTTTGATTAATGGATTAGTTGATTAATGGATTTATTAACATTTATTAATATCATTGTTAAAAAAAATTTTTCAACCTGAATTATAATCAAGACCTGGAATTTGTTGTAATCTTGGCGGGCTTTTTCTTGGAGTAAGTGGTGCTAAATAATTAAAATTTTGAAATATTATTACTTTATCATATATTATATACAGATAGACAGATAAATGGATAGATAGATTACTATTTATAGCAGGTTGTCTAGTGTATACAATTAATTGGACTTCCGATTTTCTCTTTGAAAATTCATCCCAAAACGATTTATAAGATATTTCATTTTTTAAATCATGATGTAGAGAATCTTTCCAAGTACCTATACGATAATACAGAGTAGTAGTGTCTATTGTTCCCCATTTCTTTGGCAGTTTTAGATTAGAAATGTTGTTGGTTAATTGTTGAATGACAAGATTTGGATCATCGTTTTGATCAATATTTGCAATAGATACACGTAGACTACGTTCAATTTTAGCGATTGGATCATGAGTCACATCGAAACACACTAATGGAATTGTTGGTAAATCTTTTATGTGGAAAGAGGAAGGAAAAAAAGAATTGGGAAAGATAAGAAGATTGATCGATTATGATTTTCAAAAGAAAGAAAATCATAAACATATATGTATGTATGTATGTATGTATATATATATATATATATATATATATATATATATATGCGTATGTATTTAATATGTGTGTATGTGTATATAGAAAAGAAAAAAGAAAAAGAATTGTTACACATCTAAAAATTATATATATAACTTTTTTTAAAATCATTCCTTTTTTTTTTTTTTAAGAATAAAAGTATAAAATATAAAATATAAAATATAAAAATATGATTCGATACCATTTGAAATTGGATTATGATGATTTAAATCATCGATTTCTCCTGATGTAGCAGATGATGTTGATGTTGTTTTTTTATGATGATGATGATGATGATGATTAATGTTATTATTACTAATAATATTATTGTTACTACTATTATTACTACCACCAATGCTACCATTGCTACTAGCAGCGGCAGCAGCAGCAACAGCAGCGCCTGATTTTTCTTCATGTTCAATTAATTCTTCTAAAACCTCTCTCATCATTGGTTCAAATTCTTGTGATTCCCAACCATAATTAAGAGCCATATTATAACTTTCAATATGTTGAAAGTATTGGTCCAAAGAATTTGCTTTGATGGTACCTTGTTTCTTTTTTGCATCGATATATTCTTGTAGGTATTGTTTTGTTACCGGGAAAAAAGAATCAACGGTAGGATGAAGACTTTTAAGAACATTTAAAAAATTTTTTACACCACAACGTGAAGCACGAGTGTTTAAACTGACAGACCTTTGACGACGACGTGGCTTCGAAATATGAAGATGTTTACGAGTTGCAGGCATTTTTTCTATTTGTTGTAATTAAAAAACTTTTGTTTATTTTATTGGAAAAATTTTTTTATAAAGTCTAAATTATAAATATTTTATATATATATATATATATATAATTTATTATTAATATATATATATGTGTATGTATGTATATAAATATGTAAATATTAAAATATTATTAATAACATGTAAAATAATTAATTAATAAAAAAGTTTCGTAAACAAAGTGAAGAAGATAAAGTAAGGTAGGCGTCAAATATGGGTAAAGTAGTTGGTGGTTAATAGTAACTAATAATTTACTAATAGTAATAATAATAATAATAATAACAATAACAGCAACGTAGTAGTAAATCTACCATTAAAATAAATAATAGATTTAGTTTTTTATTGTTTAAATTCTAATTTATAATATTTTACAACTAATTAATGAATATTATTTAATTATATTTATAATATAGGAGAAAAAAATTCCTTTGTGAAAAAAAAACGCCACCCATCAACGGATAACAATTGAACAATAGGGTTTAACGGAGACATTATGCTAATTTTTTCAAATAATAAAAATTAATGATAATAATAATAATTCTGACAATCTGGAAATAAATAAGTATTAATAATAATATAATAATAATAATAAAAATAATCTAAACATAGATTAAAAATGAGTTTAAGCTATAGATGACGAAATCAACTTTAAAACTTTAAATTTAGGTAAATCTTTTTTAAAAAAGATCTGCCACATAATTATTTAACGTGTTTTATTTTTAATTTTATTTATTTTAATAAATTCTCCTAAATAAAAAAAACAATTTTCGATTTACTATTTATATTTATTATAAAATAATATATATAAATATAAATATATATATATATATAATAAATCATGGGGCATGCTGGACAAATTAAACATGTGGCACGAAAGAATTGCAGGGGTTCAAATTTAGTAGAATTGGTTATTAACCGTCACAACGATTTTTTTATTGGCCAACAAAAAAATTAAAATTTCAAATTTGAAGTGATAAAAAGACAACAGGTAATTGGTCGATTGAAAATATTTCGGCTATGGCTATAAAGTCCACACATAATAGAATATTGAGCACTTATCTGTGTATCAATGGTTCTTGAATTCCATATTTCTTTGAAATGTTGAGATCGATCATAAAGATTATGAAGTTCGTGTCTATCTCTAGACAATTAGAATACACCAAGTTAAAATACGTAATGACAAATTACTTGCATTTAACGTCAAACTGGATGTATGTAACAATAATTATTGTAGAAAGACGATTTCAAACAATAGCATCACATACTCCAACAGCCCTTTAAGCCATTGTTAAGCTTCACAAGGTCACTCAACCCATTGATGAATGCTTTACAAATTTGAAAGCAAATCCTCCCTTTTTTGATTCGGGGCGTAAACTGAAAAATCAGGTTTCGAAAATCTTTAAAAAGAATAACACTTTTTCCACAAGTCTAAAACATACTCGAATTCAAGTTCGTTGAAGATAAAAAATACACATCTTTCTCCAAGGAGCAAAACTTCTTTTTACAATGTGAGGATGAATCTGTAATTTTTCATTTGCCATAATGGGAAAAGCCTGTTCTTTTCTTCCAAAACGCCATTGACTGTTTGACCGATGCAAGGCAATAAAAGTATATGGGCAATTATTATTGGTTTCGAAGCCAAGAAACCCATAATAGCTAGGACAGAAACTAAATTTGTTCATTTTATTTTGACACGTAATCTTATCATTTTTTGCTCAATCTTCATCCTCATTCTCATTCCACATTTATCTATTCATTTATCTATTCATTTATCTATTCATTTATCTATTGATTATTTATCCAATAACTTTTATAGTAGAATTAAATATGCAGGATATTTTTAACCACTAAAAAACAATTTTAATTTATTGTTTATTTATTTTATTTTTAAAAACAATGTCAATATTAGGATAACAATAGAGAACCCATCATTATTATCTATATCAAAAAATGTAACCTTAAAAGTTTGTGTATTTTTTGCACTACAAAAAACTAAAAAAACTTGTAAGTCTTATAATTTGTAATTAAAAATATTTTAAGATATTATTTTTAATGTTTTTGATATTTAAAGTTTATCAATTTATCAATTTATCATACAATTGTAAAAAATGTATTTATGATCTATTAATTAGTATTGCTAATAATAAAATTTCACACTTTTGCTTATCACATATTTTAATTAGACATTGAATGATTATTATTATTATTATTATTTTTAGTAGAGTTTGTCCGTCCGTTCATTTAATTCTGTTAATATTAAAAAATTAAACATGATCTAATTAATTCATCGGCGTTATGCATAATTCGTCCAATTATTTTCTATGATTATATTTACTTTGTTTTCCATTCTAGTAAATTCATGCCTATCAAAAAATTAAAATTGGGAATAATCGGGATTTTTCATTCTCATGATTATTTATCGCAGTAAATATTAATAAACGATAACAACTTTTTCAATTAATTGATTGGTTGGATCGATTGGACCGATTAGCAAATCAATCTGTTGGACAAAATCGAAAGATTTTACTGCAAATTTTTTAACAGTTCTGCGGGGGAGATGCCGTCAATGCTTATCATATTTTTTTAATATTAAATTATTTTGGTCGTATGTATTAATTTAATTTTGATCTAATTATTTTTACTTTACTACAGTTTTTTATGATTTCGTGTTTTCCATATTAGTTTAAAATATCAACAAATAAAAAGCCTAACAAAATTTTATTATTAATAATTTTGTTCACGTGCTTATCACCTATCTAAAGCACAAATAATTAATAAGTGCACAAATACATTGTTTGTAAGCCAATTTTGTAAATGATTTACTTGCAATTCCTAATTTCGTAATTTACTGTTTTTTTTTAAAAAAAATGTTTTACCAAATTTATATCAATAGATACAAAAAAGAAATAAACACGCATTCTCCAGATTTAGATCACAAAATATTATAGTAATTTACAAAGAAGTAGAAAACAACATTATTGGTACAATAGACAAAAATCTTTTTTCTTTAAAACTTAATCGTTGATTATTATATTAAAAAATGTGACATCTTTATATGGATTTGAAAGTATCAAATATAATAATATGATGAAATTAGTGAAATTATAAATAATGTAATTAATTAATAAAATCAAAACAATTTGTTCTGTTCGATCTCTTTATACTGTATTGGATGTATGTATGTAACGTATATTGTATATAAATACAATTGAAATATTCATAATCATATAAAGATACACATGTAAATTCTTTGTATAATTTTTTTTAAAAAAATAAATCGTTCTTTAAAATAAAATAAAATTTGACAATTTTATTTTTCAACATTTCCATCACCAACCAACATCCCAAATATTTTACGATTTACTCTTAAGAAATAATTTGTTGAATTTAACAAAAAATTTTTTTTTTAAAGAACGATTGATTAACTAATTCACTTTGCTTATTAGTGGAATAGTTTTTACATTCTTTTAAATCCTCTCTCCTTCAATCCATTAATCATTAATTATCGAAAAATGGTTTTTGTTAAAATACTTTTTTTCGTTATTTTGTCAATTTTGGTAAATTTTTTTTTAATTTTCAAAGTTTTCAAAAAAGATAATTTAAAAGAATATAATATATTAATATAGTAATATGATTTTTATGTATAGGGGTCCACCGGCATCAATGGAGACGATATTTTTACAGGCATATCCAAGGCTCCTGGAAATCGGGGTGCTTGGTACACGTGTAGTGATATAGACACACGTTACGTCAGTAAGTTATATTATTCCAATAATTCCATCAATAATAATCATTCATTATTACCACATCACCATCATAACCATCATTACTTTCAGGTTTTGCAATGAATATCGTTGATTCGAGCACACCGATGACTCCGGGATTTATCGGGACAATTATACCAGGTGTACCGCCAGAAAAACCAATTCCAAAATATCGACCAGGATTAATAGTTTATCAATTAGCTAATTCCGAAATGCAAAAATACTTGGATCCAACATCCGATTTCGAATACGTACCATCATTGTCTTGTTATGATGAACCGAAAGCAACTTGTAAACAAGACGCTGGTAAAATCCCATTACAATTCAGTACTAAACAATGCTTGTTAATGGAAAATCCAACTGGTCTCGATATTGTTTTTAATGTTTCATTATCATGGACAAAATCAATTTTTAATTCCGATGTTCAAAGTCCTAATGTACCCGGTGGACTTGATTCAATCACAACCACCACAGATGTTTCTTCTGCGACATCTAGTTCTTCACCAACTACCGTATCTGATCCCAATTATTCTTCTTCGTCGAGTTCTGCATTCAGTATTAATAGTGATACCAAATTTTTTAATATTTTAAATATTATAATTGCCGCTAGTTTATTGTTAATTTATTATTTTTAATACCAAATTTATTCATAATTTTTTTTTATTTATGTATAATATCATTTATTTATTTATTTATTTATTTATGTATTTTTATTTTTTGTATAAATTTAAATTTTTTTTTTGTCTGACCTTTTTTTTTTCGAGAAAAAAAAAACAATGATATTTTTATCCGGAATTCTTCTTAATAATTTATAATGGATTTTTGTCGTTGTCGATTTTTTTTTCTCGCCTTATTATTTAATGTAGGAGAGAATATTGGGGTTCAAAATGATGGAACGACTGTTATTATTATTATTTTAATAATAGCATTATAATGTTTTTTCTCGTTCCAAACTCATTTAAATACTCGCTCAATACATCCATATAAGATAATCGGAATAATTAATTCCAAAGCAAGTATTCATGCCAAGCTTATTCTTATCCGGCTTGATCCGATTTACTTTGCTTCTCCGGCTGGTCAGCATTTGTGCCTTTTCTTTTTTTAAAACATTTCAATTCTTTAACTTTAATCTGAAGTTACTGAATAATATTTTCACTTTTGAAGTTACCCATTTAAATATTTTAGTTGCTCAATCAATACTGT